ACTAAAATGGGGGTAAAATGGCATATTGTGCAAACAATACAACTTTACTTACTGCTGACAACTTTGTGTTTTTCAGCTATATATTCCTTCCATTTTTTTGTACTTAGCTGGCTGGGTACAGGATTCAACATATGGCTTACACTGCAAGGCAATACAAATAAAGCTCCTACCTGCAGATAAAACATACACAGACCTGATTATGAGTAAATCTTCTCAGATACTGATATATAAACTGCCCCACGTATAAGCTGAATCCATCACGCTCCTCTAAAGCTAGCTGTGCACCAGATACTGTCAGCCCCACTAGGTAGGCCAGATCAGAAAACCAACTCCACAGGAAGACTAGAACTCTACTTTGTTGAGATAGGCTGTAATAACAGAATCTTGCAAGTCTGATTGGGCTCTATCTCTTCCCCCAGTAAATCAGGGTGGCTGCCTGAGCTGCTTCCAAATATTATCTCTCTGGACTTAAAAAATGTTTCAGCCCCTCTTGCTTAGGAAATGGCTCTTGCATATGTCCATAAAGATCATCCTCCTTACTCTCCACAGGTACCAGTAGTGAGGATACAAAGAATGATGTCCTCAGGAACTGTAACCAAGGAAGATGTTGACTCCAATTCTTACATTTCCTCACATCCTAATTTGTTAAGGCTACGACGGGTATCACTTCAAGCCCAGCTCAGGACCTTCAATAACCCATTTCTACTCAGACCAAATCAGAAGCTGGTTGCTTTGATTCAAGACCCAAATCAAAGTAAGATTTGTTCCTCCTAGTAACTCACATGGGAAAATTAGAAACTATTTGAAATGTACAAGCATATATTTCTCAGATATAATGTCCTGAAAAACAAACTGTTTGAAGGGAGGCTAAAGATATGGTTCGTGGAAAAGAAGTGTTTGATTATCCTTCTAAGAGACTCCAAAACTACTATTGTTAAACTAATGATTTTAATTTAAATCAATGTACTCAGTCCTCAAATTTACCCTAGAAATAAGAATTCTTTTGTGGAATACATGCAAATTAATTTTTACTAACTTTCATCCTGCTTAAATTTAATTTTAGTAAAAAGCCACAATCTACCTTTCCATGCAGAGAAGAAAGCTGATCCCAAAATAGTAGAGACTTCTTCTCAGCATCAGTTTTAGCCAAGGTCCTAGACAAAGTTAAGGAATCACACCTTCACAGCCATGAAGTGCAACAGTCAACATTTGTAAATGCTATAAAAAATTTTTTTTCCAGAACTGTTTATATATTCATAGTCCACATGGATCATATAGTCTGACAGCACCCTAATTCTTGGTGCTGTTCAGTATATATCACTAAATCCAGTCCTTCAATGGTACAGAAACTGCAAGTAATTAATGCTAGATGATGACTAACGGGTCTAATTCAATTTCACAATCCTTAATGCTTTATGCTTATTACAACTAGTGTTTCTGTGACAGCTGTTACATATTGTTTTATTTTGTGCATCATAACATATTGCTATTTTGCAAGTGTTTCTGCACTGTGTGTACATCCATGTGTATACAAATATGGGCAAACAACCCTCACTACTGGTGAGATGATTAGGCAGTCTAAGAGTATTCCTGAGTGTTGGAGAATTTAACGAACAAGAAGAAAAAATTTTCCAAGCCTTTCCAAGACCATATTGCTATTCAACTTTGCCAAAATATAACGAACAAGAAGAAAAAATTTTCCAAGCCTTTCCAAGACCATATTGCTATTCAACTTTGCCAAAATATTTTGTGATAAAAAAAATTTTTCTGCTAGGTCCAGGAGTTTAGAAGACTGAATTTAACTGAAAGCTACAATGCTATGC